GCCTGGAAGAGATCAGCACTCCAGGTGCTGAAGGCCCCTTTACTTGTTTTTCATAAACATGTATCCAGTATAGTAGTTTCTAGAAGTGTGTCTGCAAGTGCAAAATGTGATTAAAAAAAAAAAAAACACACAAATCCTTTAGCAAGGCCTCTGGCCTTGAGCTGGGCTTCACAGAGATGTCTACATTTTTAAGATAAGAGAAGTTACCCATTGGGCTCCATGGTAACAGCTGGCAGGGGAGGAAAGGAAGGGGAGAAGAAGCTCTCCCCTTCTCAGGCACTGTCCTTGAAGGGTTAACTTGCCCAGAACGGTGAAAAGCTGCTTTTATGTGAACTTCTGCAGGCTGTGAACTTCTGAGCCCCTCCCCATACATTCTGGGTATAAAGTTCTGCAACTACCTGAACTTGGGGTTCAGGGGATTGATTGATTACAGCAAAAACTGTGGCCTCTGAACCTGGCCGCAGCCAAATAAAACTGTTTCCTGCTGTCTTCAGTGCCTTGCCTCCTCTGCCCCTACAGCAGCTACTCCACACTGCCTCCCTGAATTACTACTCAAACCAAATGAAACTATTACTGTTCTTCCCACGATGTCTGGGATGGAGTAATTTAGTAATTATTTAGTACCCTTAAATTGTCACTTTAGAGATTTTAAAAGCCCGTAAAGGTTTATTCTTTCCCAAATAAATGGTCCCTTGATAGGTGAAAACTAAAATCCAGGAAACTCACCAAGCATGGCCAAGGTGTGCGTGATCGTATACAGTTGGTCCACAGCTATACCTGGGAACAAGTTAAGACCCGTCACGTGAAACACCTGCATTCTCAGCTGCAGGACCCCACACGCAGGCCCTTCAGGCAACCTGCGCTGCGCGTGCCCAGGTCCCAGGCTGGCGGCGCGCCCACCGCACCTGTCCTCCACGCCCGGACCACCGACCCCGCCCACCAGCGCACCGCCCTCCGCCCAGCCCGCGCACCAGGAGGTGGCGTCCGCGCGGGCTACGATCAGCGGGTCCTTCCTGCCCGTGAGGCTGTTGTACACCTGCACGCCCGTGTCGCGGCCCTCCGGCTGTAACCAGGCCCGCCCGCGCCCCTCGCACGCCGTCCGGCTCAGCCCCGGGCCCAGCGCGGCTGGGAGCAGCCGGGCGAGCAGGCCGAACGCGCGCGCCCGCAGCATGTCCTCGGCTGGCGAGGGACCGCGACGCGCCAGGCTACGCAGGCACAGCGCGCCGCCTGGAGCCACGCCTGCCAGCCCGAGGCCACGCCTGTCCCTCCCGAGGCTCCGCGACGCCAGCCCGAGGCTCGTCCCGCCTACCGAGGCCTCGCCCACCAGCTCGAAACCGCCTGGAGCCCGCCCAGGCCACACCCCGGGAGAGGCCCGCCCGCCGCCGGAAGAGGAGGTGGCAGCGGCCCCAGCTCGGGGCTGGCCTCGGCGCCGGGGTGTGGGGCTAGAGGCGGGCGGAGAGGCGGGAAGGCTGCAGGGACCGTCGGGCCTGCGGCGCTTTCCCTCCTAGCGCAGGTCGCGCTGCACACCCTAGGGGACGCAGTGCGAGCCCGGGCTCAGAGGCCCCTCCGCGGCGGCGAGCCCGCGGCCGCAGCGAGGAGACATGGACCTTTGGACCTCGCCGGCCCGCGAAGCACGTCTGTACCTCAACATGCATCATGTCTGCATCCTAAGAAAATGTGCACCCTACATGCAGAATGTATGTATCCTAACACTGCACCCCAACATTCACACAGCATGTCTGCATCACAATACAACGTGCAGCCCAACACACAGTACAAAAGTGCCTTAGCGCTCTCTTGGGGGTCTCTGGATGAAAGACCAAGACTAGAAGACCTTCCCATTCATCAAGTACACGTAGCAGGAACTGCCTGCTTGGGATTCATTTTAACAGTAAAACAGCTATCATCCATTCTTTGAGAACAAAAATGTTCTGAGAGTTACTTTCAAATAGTATCGACAAATGTGCCCCTATTGGCAGTTTGCAAAACAATCTTAAAAAAAAAATCCCTTTGCTTTTCAGTTCTCAAAACAGCAGTTTCTTCAGTTCTCTTTTTAGTTTTATATTCTCTTAAAAGGCAAAGTAGAGACAAACAAATGTGTTCCTAGAGTACTTAAATTTTTTTCTCAAGGTCCTGGAATCCAACTCTGCAATTGTTTCAAGCTAAACTATAGTCGAATGTTCTCCTGCACAAAGTTAAACTGTACCAAATTAGAAGCCCAAATACATCTTGCTAACCATTCATGATCTATACCTGTTCTAAATTCTCTGGAATACACCACTTCCTCACTGCCAGTGCAATACTTGTCTTGATGTTATTTTGTAATTGTCTCTTGTTTCTTTCTAGTGAAATGTGTATGTTTCTCTCCTAGAGATTGAAAATTTTTTAACTTATTATTTTTTTTAAACACTGCACTAAATTCAGAAAAGAACTCATTGAATGTTGCTGAATCTTGTCATGAAGTCCACTTAGGAGAGAGGAAGATTGGGCAGTAAAATACCAGATAGAGAAAGCTTTGATTCTAATCAGAGAAATGCCAATTTAAAAAAAAAGGACAAGAGCTGGTCCGGTAATCTGGGAGGTGGAGACAGGAAGATTGCAGGTTTGACGCCAGCTTCAGCAATTTAGAAAGCCCTAAGCAATTTAGTGAGATTCTATCTCAAAATAAAAAATGAAAGGGGCTGGGAATGGAGCTCAGTGGTAACTCTGGGTTCAATCCCAAATTCCAAAACAAACAAAAGCTGGGATGCATGAGAAATCCAAGAAAAGAGTTACAGTAGAAGTTTGGGGAAAAAAATTTTATAACACTGACATCCAAATCCTACACATGAATCTGGATAGCTGAAAGAAAAAAATTAATCTGGCTAGGTGGCATATTTGGATTGGCCTAAGAAAATCATGACTTTTAAATTAACAATGATATCTTTTGTTTTCAGAAAACTAGTCTTGTAATGTATTCAGCTTTTGACTGGCACCAATTCTACTTTTTCTTACAACATTTGGGAATCACCAAGCAATGATAAATAAAATCTAATATTTAATGATGAAAAAATATTGGTTTTGCACAATGAATTCTACAGTGACTTGGAAGATTTACTAGCACATATACCTAAAAAGAGAATCTGTTAATTTGAAGCCATCTCCTGCCGAATCTAGGTCAGAATAAATTAAAATTGATTCCAAAATATTATTAATGCCATTTTTTAGTCCTTAATGACAATAAAATATAGTTCTCAGGATTACATTTTCATTTTTGGGGAGTAGTGGGGGGTACCCTGATTTGAGCTCAGGGGCACTCACCACTGAACCGCATCCCAGCCCTGTTTTGTATTTTATTTAAAAACAGGGTCTCATTGAGTTGCTTAACACCTCACCTTTGCTGAGGCGGGCTTTGAAATTCTCTTGCCTCAGCCTCTCATGCCGCTGGGATTATGGAGATATGCCACCACACCCAGCTCCATTTTCTTTCAAGACAAAATCATGAAAATCCAAAGTAGAGGAAATTATGGTGACATATCATTTAGGGACTTTCAAGTTTAAGATGGATTAGTTATTGATTTAAAAAAAAAAGATTTGAAGTTGTAGATGGACAGCATGACTTTGTTAATTTTTTTTTTTAATGTGGTGCTAAGAATCAAACACATGCTAGGCAAGCACTCTGCCACTGAACTACAGCCCTAGCCCAGTATAGATATTTTAACCACCTCAAAACATGAACTGTACATTCATTTCTTCATAGGTTTGAATGCTTTTAGTTAAACTAGAAATATAATTTTGTTTATTTATTTATTTATTGTGATGGAGATCAAACTCAGGGCCTGGGATGGAACCAGAGCCTTGCACATGCTATACAACTGCTCTAGCCTGACATGTAATTTTAGAAAAAAGTTTTAATGTGTAGTTTAGCAATATACCACAAAGCAAAACTGAAACAGTCAGGATTCTTCAAAAATTGAGCACTGTTCCTTAGCGCCATATTTAAAATGCAAGATAAATGGTTATTTTATCTATTGGTATTCTAGGTATGTTTAGAAAACACTTTCTGACTTTTTACCCTAAGGGGCGGATTAATTGTTTTATGGAGGTCAAACTGCTTATTCACTACTGTCTTCCAAGCACATAAAACAATAGTTGGCACGTGGTGGAACTACTCAAATATTTCCAGTTGAATGAATAAGAAGCCTTTTGGTTTATGCATCTGTGAAGTTCACGAAGAAGAATAATTATTCAGATAATATTGTGACTTTTTGAAAAATAAGCTAGTTCTAACTCCAGTTTATTTTTTTTTAATCTTTGTTTTCTGATACTGGGGATTGAATCCAGAGGTGCTTGAGCTACATCCCCAGCCTTTTTTATTTTTTGAGACAGGGTCCTGCTAAATTACTGAGGCTAGCCATTTTACTGCCTGAGCCTCCCCCAGCAGCTTGGATTACAGCCCTGCACCACTGAGCCTGGCCAGCTAGATTCTTTTTGAATGGGATAAATTCTTGCTATCTTTATTCTTGAGTCCAGATTAAAAACTGTTCATTCTCAGGCCAATGACTGCTAGGATTAAAAGAATCTAAACAGGTTCTCTTTTTTACTATTGTGCTTTTAAGTTACTTACATGTTCTTTGCGAAAAAGGCATATTTAAAATTCAACCTTGCACCCCCTTCTACACTTTATTCACTTCATGTTTCTCTTCCCACACGTCACAGTGTTTTGTGCTAACCAGTGGCCAGTGAATCGTGTGGTCGAAATGAAACATTTCGTCCTTTAGCACCGCAGCAACGCTCCAATGTGAACTATCCAATTCAAAATACAGCTCAATCCAGTCTCCTCTGCTGCCCCAATATCCACGTCACAAAATAACCTACGGGTCCAGGGAATGCGCACCCCAGCGGTAAACACTCTATTTACAAATACTGAATTAGATTAGTCCGAATTTGTGCTGGATTATGCAGGAAACCAAAAAATTCCAACAGATATGTTTCACGTAACATTTCAAATCTTCAAATACCGGAAAGTGTGCCCGTCTAAACTGCAAGTGTCTGTGTGCGGCCGTGCGTCCAGATTTGCAGCAGGATAAATCCGGGACTCCAGCGGAACCCTACGCTGCTGACTCGGAGACGGGGGAAACCGGGGAGGCACGGCTGGGGCCACAGGCCACCCTACGCGGGACCTTTCTGCCCAGCGCCGCTCCCAGCCAGCCAGAGCAGAAGCCAAGCGGAGGGGCCGGGACCCGACGGCACGCAACTCCAGTTGCAGCGATCGAAAGCCAGCCCAAGGGAACCACAGCGGAGCGCGGACAAAGGCGGGAGCGCCGCCGGGGCGTGGCCACGACCGAGAGGCGTGGCTTGTCCCGGAAGGGGCGGGGCGGACCATCCGGTCGTCTAGGCAACGGAGGGCTCAGAGTCGGGCTTTTCAGAAAGTCTTAAATCCTGGAGCCATGGTGGAAGGGAGGTTAAAGAGGGTTCGGGGCGTCAAAGGACACTAAAGTGCCGCCAGCGCCCCAGGTGTTGGCGGTCCTTCCGAAAGGTGGGGAGTGGAGAGCGCTCGGAGGGCACCTAACGGGCCAGGAATCAGGGAAGCATCTTTTCCGCCGGCCCGCCCTCCGCAGAGGCTCGGTCTCAGGGAGCAGCTTTGCTCTCGGGCCCCTTTGTCTCCAAGCCGTTCCAAACCGAGCTCCAGGAGGTGACAAAGGGAAGGCAGTGGTGAACAGCGCAGCCGCGGAAGCCGCCAAGGCTGCTGGGAGTGGTGGTCCTGCCGCGCTACAGTACTCAGTCCCCCTCCCGCGCGGGCCTTGGCCGCTGTTGATGGTAGTGCGCTTGCGCCAGCACTTCCGCCCCTCCAATGCCCACCCGCTCTGCCGGCCTCCAGACTTTAGTAGTAGAAGCCCAGGAGGAGCCCGAATTTGTCACGCCCCCTCTCCGTCTTGATTGGCCGCAGAGGTAAGGTCTGCAAGTGGATTGGCTCTCCGGGTTGCCAGTTCTTTTCCGGCTCGTACTTATATTGCGCGGCGGGGCGGGGACGAGTAGAGTAAGGCCGGGAGAGGTAATGGTGGTTTGCCACTGTCGGAGTCTCTCAGGCGGCCGTCCCGCGGCCAGTCAGGTCCCGGGAAGGTCTTCAGCGGAGCAGGCCACCACCCCGCGTCTCCCGGCCGGCGTGCAACGCCTCCCAACAGCCTCGCCATCAAGTGCCAAACTCCTAGTAAAGTTTGCGCCTCGCCCGTCGCCCCAGTCCGGCGGCCCTGTCGCTGTCCCTTCCGCGACCCTCGCCCCAGCGAAAGTGACGGGAAAGGCCACGCCCCCTCGC